TTTTATTTTGTGGCGCTTAAGGAATATGTATGGGAAAAGAGACAGAATATGTTGCGTAGTAAAAAATTTAAGGATCAAAGAAAAAAACCCTATTTAACGTATTCAAATAGTACTCTGAAAGAAAAGCAGCAGAATTCTTAAACAAGTCTTACTTGTGCCGAAAAAATGATTTGTTAAAAATTATTTTAAAAACGTATTTTTTTTTTGTGTCAAACATGCGAAACGTGCGCCGAGATTGAAAATTTTTATTGCAAAAATAGATTTCATCTTTTCAAAAAAAAAATTGTATTCTCTGTTCAAACAATAAATGCAATTTTCGACCCTAGGGCAGAAAGTACCCACTTTCCTTCCGCTCATCAAAGAGCAAAATACGAAGTTTCCTTTGCAGGCGTGTTAAAAAATAGCATGTATACCTCGGGCGGGAAAACATGACTGTTCTTCCTTGATGCACAATATACTATTATGAGTTACGTATTATCGGAATTTGGTTGTTACGTAGATTCATCTGGCAAATTCGAGATTCGTATTATTGAGAAGAATATCTAAAATAGGTACTGCCAACATTTCGCTCCACAATTACCTTTCGTATAGTAAAATTGGCCGAGATGTTCTGGATAATTTTTTTCCAAATTTTCTCTCCGTGTAATATTCTAAATGAATATAATCCGCAGTAAGTAATTAGAGTCATCTTCAATCTCATATGGTTCATTCCAGGGGCCTCATAATATAGTCTCGTACTATAGGACTACCCTTTCGCTAGAGGCTTCAATTCCCAAAAATTCTTGGTGGGAGGGTCTGGAACCAAATGATATTGGTTGGTTCAACAAGATTAAATACCTTCAAAACATAACGACAGACACTTCAATAATGGTAAGGTATCTCGTTATAACGCCATATATTTCACTGGAGAACTTGTTTATTCATTGCTTCATTATCTTCTACTTTTCCTATGCAGGTCCGTTATGTACTGTTGTACTTTGATGATGAAACTGCAGGAGAAATGTACCGGGGTTCTCACTCCATCTGCTACAACGGAACAGATGACCGAATCTTCATCAAACTTATACAAGAGCGTCTAGGCATTGAGGACGGATGTCCGATACTCGCGGTGAGCAATAATTTCTGACGATTTTTCAGTTTTCATCTCACACTCATGACTCGATCTCACGCAAAAAACGCTAATCCGACGGTTTTTTAATTGTTATTTTACATCGCTTCGACTGGGTTGAGTATATTGCGATGATGATTAAGACTTTAAAAATGGTTAGATCTCACCATGCTACCCGACCGGGATTTGGACTCGGAACCTTGTGCACGTGAGGCAACGGCCTTACCCACTGCGCCAGGCCGACGAGCCTAATCTAACTGTGCAACTTCCGTTTGGTATTTTGTGACATGAGATTTTTCCTGATTTTATTCTATTACAAAATTTCGATAATGAGAGCTGGTTTTTCAAATTTATACCCCGAAAAATACTTCATTCATTAACATTCTCGCCACGACATTTCGTCACTAAAGTTTTACAACTTATTTTTATTTTTAGGGGGGTGAGAAAAATACGAGTGCCGTTCAATTTCCGACTAAGGTTCAACTAGAACTCAAACCAGGGGAGACGTTATACCCACGACTGCAACTATTATTCGAGATACGGGACAATGCAACGAATCCCGCGCAAATATTGCTCCGCGGAAGAGGGGATATATATACTGAAAATTTGAAGCATCCCTCTTTCACCCGCATAGAATAATACTCAGCGCATCTTCTACACGTTTTGGGAATAATTTGCACAGAATGAAATGAAAAATTGTAACCACGCTAAAAGTACTCTTCAAAAACTCTATATAAGAATTCGACAACAATAATAACAAATAAAAATGAATAATTATTGATAGAAGTGCGCATGAGAGAATATAAATGTGACAAATCACTCAAAAATGAAAATTCAAAATTAGTAATGTTAGGTCATCCTACTTCTGGTATCACACTTTTTATTTTCTATATCTTAACAAGCGATAACCGACAAACAATGATACTTTCATAATATTACTCGGTAATCTCCTCCATTACTGACGACGGGCTCCCAGACTGCTGGTAATTCTCAAACACCATGTAGAGTCCCATTTTCATTCAAAATAGAAATAATCCTATGCAACTCAATATCCAACTGCTCGTTGCTGTTGTAATGAGGAGGGACGTCCGACTAGGGGCTGTCCGCAGGGGGGAGTTCTCTCGTCCCTGCTATGGAACCTGGTTGTCGATGGACTTCTAAATCAACTAAGTGAGGCCGGCTTCCACGTCATCGGTTTCGCCGATGATGTGGCAGTTGTTGTGAAAGGCGGATTTCTGAGGGTGCTAAGGGACCTGATGGCAACAGCCTTCAATATCATTGAGGACTGGTGCAGGGTAACTGGCCTATCGGTAAATCCAGCCAAAACAACAATCCTGGTTTTCACCAGAAATTATAAACTGGAAAAGATCCAACCTCTGAAGCTAAATGGCTCGGAGATTAACTACACCAGCAGAGTGAAATATCTGGGTGTCCTCCTGGATAATAAACTCAGCTGGAAAGAACATATCTGTACTCAGAGAAATAAAGTGTTTGCCTCTATGTGGGCATGCAGGAGAGCTGTGGGCAGGACATGGGGACTCAATCCTAAAATGATGCTCTGGCTCTACCAAATAGTTCTACTTCCGAAACTGTTATACGCTGCGGTCGTCTGGTGGCCGAGGGTGAGTAAGACGGAAACAAGGAACCTGTTGAAAAGCCTACAGGGAACCTTCCTGAGGGCTGCAACAGGAGCCATGAAATCGACACCTACTGAGGCGCTAGAAATAGCACTCAGTATCCCACCCCTCGACCTTAGGGTTGTGAGTTGTGCTACCACAACTGCATATAGACTAAGGTGCCAACTAGAATGGAAGATGACGGGCCAAGGCCATACAAGGCTTAGCCTAATCAATGATCGACCCTTCATAGGTAAGACGGATAGGATTCCTAGGAAGTATCAGATCAGGAAAACTTTCAGAACGAGTATACCACCCAGACAGGAGTGGCTAGACTCGAAACGTAAACCAGGACCAAGAGAGGACTACTGGTTTACGGACGGCTCTGGCTTCAATGAAAGTTTTGGGGCAGGCATCTACCGTCTGAAAGATGGCTTCGGAGAGAGTTTTCCGCTGGGCCATCATTCAACCGTCTTTCAAGCAGAGATGCTGGGCATACTTAAGTGTGCAGAGTATCTGAACGCGAGAGACACAAAAAAGATGAAAATATTCATCTGCAGTGACAGCCAGGCGGCGATACACGCCCTGGAAAAACCCACTACAGAGTCACAGGTGGTGTGAGAATGCATGCAGGCATTGGACACACTGGGTAAAAACAACCGGGTCACCGTAACCTGGGTGCCAGGTCACCATGGGATTCTGGGTAATGAAGAGGCAGATAAGCTGGCCAAGGAGGGTACAGAAAGTGTGCCCTCACACGGCCTGCTTGGCATGCCCTTCGCAGTGGGAAAAACTCTTATTAAAGATCATTTCCAGCGGGATCATGTCAGGCGTTGGGAGAAAGTTGCGACCTGCAGACAAGCGAAACTGCTTATGAGAGGGCAACTAAGAGTTAGGACCAGAAAGCTTCTGGAGCTGCACAGAGGGGATCGGAGGGTAACAGTAGGGCTCCTTACGGGTCATACAGCTCTCAGAGCTCATCTGTTCAAGATGAAACTTGCAGAACAAGAAGACTGCAGACTGTGCGGAGGCGATAAGGAGGGCGTCATCCACATTTTATGTGAATGCCCCCTATTAGCACTCCGTCGCTATAAAATCTGGGGCCAGGCTTTCCTGGAACCAGAGGACTTACAACAAGTGGCTGTCACCAGCCTTATTAGCCTAGTGAGAAACACAGGGCTGGGGCTGTGTGACTGACCGAAACTAAGGCGGATGTTACAAAAGATCGTATGATTTAGATGACTCTGGGCGCTTTAAGTGACCAGCCGCGCATTTTCTATTCTATTCTAACTCAATATCCAACTGCTCGTCGCTGTTGTAATGAGTGCCTGACAATTCCCTTCTCACGTGATTAAAACATCTAAAATCACAAGGATTCATATCGGAAGAATATGGTGGGTGGAAAGTTCTACCCAACCTTCATTGTCAACTAACTACCGAACCATGCGTGTTTTATGTGGCCTGGCGTTATCGTGTAAAATAAGGGGACTTGTTATGTGATGTTCTTGTGCCCATTTGGGAATATTGCCCTCAAAAAACGCCTTGTAACGGTCAGATGTCATAGTTGTATTTTCTGCATAAATCGTCCGAAAAGCGATCCCTCTTATATCCATTATAACTATCAGCAGTATCTTCCGTTCTTGAAGTTCTGCACGTTGTAGTCTTGGCGCTGACGTGCCTGGTTCCACCCAAGATCGTGATTAATTAATTGTCACGATATTTCTTTAGACCATTGTCAAGAATTTCACCTGTTAAATATACGAAGTTGGCGATGAACATTCAGTTTAATTATTTGATCACACCCTGAGAAATAGTTTATATGGGCTAGAGGGGAGATACTCCACGGTCCACTGTCAATACATGAGTTTATTCATTTACAATAAAAAGCTTGTTGAGCAGTATGGAAAAATCAGGGAATAAAGAGTTTTATTCGATTGAAAAAAAATTGCATTTTTTTTTAATTTAAAAATTAATAAACAACTGGACTTTTGAAGTGACTCTGTTCACTTATCATTCATAGCATTCATACTGTAGAAAATAATTACTTCTGATTGCGGATAAATTATTAGTTTGTTGGTTCTTAACCGATCAACATTATTCTTCGACAAAAAAATTAACAATTTTGTGAGCTTGGTGAGAAACATCGATGTTTGGAAAAAAGAATCGAAAATCGATTAATCGGCCGTTCAAAACATCGAATGAAAAACATCGATGTTTAGGCATGAAAAGTCGATGTTTTCGATTAATCGACAAACATCGCTCATCCCTACCGACGATGTGTCAAAAATGGCGGATCTCAATAAAGAACTGAGTGAATATTTACTAAGCAATAAGAATGAAAAGCAATATAAATTGACGATTCCATCAGTGACGATACCAAAGCCCTCAATAGGCAGATGGCTGGGACGATCGAGCGAAGAGGAGCGACAGGAGGGAGGGTGGATGCAAAATGCTCAGAGAGACTGCTGTCCCAGTATGGTGAGTCCCGCCTTTAACCTAAAAAAAATTGAAATGTCAACAAATGAGATAATGAATGATCTTGTTATCCCTTGCAGACCAGATTTCAACGTCTCACTGGGTTTGTCATGTGTATTGTCATGGGAATAATATGCTTTAGTTTATCGGCTATTTACGTGCCCGTTTTGCTGTTGAAGGCACGTAAATTCGCACTGTTGTATTCGCTGGGAAGTGTTTTCTTCTTGATGAGGTAAATATTCTTGATTTTAATCTATCTGTTGTTCTAGAATTTTAAAACCCGGGTGTACTATCTTTCCAATGTTATCTGGATTTTTTTATCTTTCGTAATCCAAAATTGTTAATTGAGTGGTACATCATGTAGAAATTCCCAAAAATTATGATAGAATGATAACAAAAATTTGAAAAATTATGAACTTTTTCAAAGAGCGTTTTTACTTGAGATTCAGAATGAGTTGAAAAAAGTGGAAATTACAAATATCTGATTCGCTGTGGCAAATTATCTATTAGCTGTCATTTTCCATGGTGGATAACAAAACACTAACTCCTCATGGGAAGTGACAGCTAGGTATCTCAATTTTCAAAACAGTGGTATGTAGTCATAATTTTTATGTGATAAAAGTGTGATTAAAAAATTCTCCAAAATATTACAACTTTTTTCAAAGAGCCTTTTCCGTAATAAATGTCTCTGTGCAGTGTGGGAAAAGATTTACGAAATCAGTCTTCCCCCTGCATGATATTGGGTGACAGACCGCGATTTGTCACCGTAAATCAGATACATTTTTCAATTTCTTCTTATTCAACTTATTAAGAATATAAATTAGATGAAGAAAACCATCGAGATAACGTTCCAAAGATAGTACACCCGGGCCTTAAGATCAAATTATAGAAAATTTTTTTCACTTTGAACAAATAATATTAATATCAAAATAATTGTTCGTCACTCCTCCTTGGAACATCAAATAGACTTATAATCAAATACGGGATTTTGACCCTCGTAACCTTATTAAATCTTATTCTGACTCCCGAGACCCTTACGACTTAAGTAACAACTGTCCATTCATCATTTCTAATATACATATTAATAATATAATATTTATAAATTTTTCTGTAGAAAATAATTACTCCTGATTGCAGATAAATTATTATTTTGTTTATTCTCAATCAATCAACATTCTTATTCGACAAAAAATGGACATAAAATCTGACAGGAAAAAGGGCATGATGAATGGGCATCGACACTGCTGGAATGTCTATTATTTTCTCTTTTCCTCAGTTTTTGTTTCCTGTGGGGACCCATCAGCTACCTGAAATCATTGTTAACCCCCGAGAGAAGATGCTTCACGTTATCTTACTTCGCAACCCTCGCAGGAACCCTCTACTTCGCCCTTCACCTGCAATCAACCCCCCTGACAGTATTGTGCGCAGTCCTGCAGATAATAGCTCTCCTGTCGTTTCTAGTTAGTCACATACCAGGTGGCACTGCTGGACTCATGTTCTTCGGGAGATTATTCAGGTCGTCAGGCAGTCCCACTCTGCCCATATGACATTTCCTCAGGGCAATCGCTTCAAGCTCATGCCTAGAACTGATAAAAGACTGGCCAGAAACTACATCACGCTCGTAGAATGTCTATGGGTAATTAATATAGATAAATTAAGGATTAAAAATTTATCGGTGATTGAGTTGAGACCAAATATGTACATAAATCCCACGAAAATCGAGAGTTTTGCTTTTAATATCTGTTCTTCCACGTGAATGTACAATTTTTGATTGATAATAAATGTATAATTATTTAATCTTGTCTTTTACATTAATTTGTTCATTAATTCACAGGTGAGAATTTAGTAGTGACTGATTTTTTAATGAGATGGTGATGGATTAGAGAAAGCGAAAATTTCTCTCGATTAGTTTGTTTATATTTTGAACGTGGAGTTCATAAGAAATTTTCACATTACGTTTTTTCAAACATAACTAGTTTAAAAATTTTTATTGGTTAACAACAATGAAGCAATTCCTTTCAATAACAGTAATAGGACAATTCCAAGAGAAATTTTGTGTAGAAAATGTCGTGGAGTTCAAGGAAGATCTAATATTTTTCTGTAAAACGAAGGAGTTTTACTGAAATTCTCATTCACGTTTTCTTCAACTAGGGAAAGGGCTCACGCATGTAATGCAGGGCTCTCAAGTTGAGTTAAATTATCATCATTTAGGTTTGGTAAAGGACGGTTCATATATTACAGAGATTGATCCTCTTAAAGAAAACGAATGTAACGTTTTTTCAAACAATTTTTATGGTGACTCATTTTTGAGAATAATGAAAATTTTAATAGTGTGACGTTTGAGTTAGATCACCTACCGCATTAATCCTGGGTGATCTAACATGTGTCTAGTCCCTGGGACTAGCCACAAGTAGAAATAAGCTTTCCTTTCCTAGGGCCGTCGTACCCTATGTTGGCCGGCTAACTGTCGCGTGGGATTCACTCAAGTTGGGAATGATAAGGGAATTGGAAGGTATTGTACCGAAGATAAATACACGATTAATTGGTAAAAGCCAGGTATATTTAACTCAACTACTAACTACGGTACACGACAGTGTTATTGATGGGTTCGGTAAACGCGTAATTAAGAGATCGGACTTAGACTTATGAGCTTGGAGATCCGCTCCACTTCGCTCCCGATCGTACTCTGCCCTTGCAGAGTCTTTGTAAAATGCTGAAGACCTAAAATTGCCGAGCAAGCAGTCTCACGGTCCCGAAACACTAAGACAATTAAGTGTCATCATTGACACACAACTAGAACAGTCAAACAGCTTCTTTACCGAGAAGCTGGACTCAGATGGCACCGTGAGAGTGCTGAGCTCTGCTCCTGCACGATGAGAAAGAAATCATATTTCTTTTCTCATCGTCCCACATTATAAATTTAATGTAACATATTATTCATAATACGTCACATTGTATTAAACAAATAACCGACGTATTAATTACAATACGTCACAATAGGATGTAGGGAACGATATGACGGATCATATCCTATTGTTTTCATGTTTTATTATATAGCTTAAAGGATTGTATTGTGAATTGATATGGCATGAAATTTCAAGTTACTCGATCAATTTTCCTTATTATTTGTTGGAAATCCATTGGAAATATTTAATTTTTTAATCAAATTTCAGCCTCACCCATAGTCCCTATGCCCTAGGGACCTCAAAACCGACCAAACTTTTTCCAAAACGTTTGGCACCATTTTTAGCTGTGCGCATATCATTTCTTCATTTCAAAAAACACCAACACATACACAAACCCCAACACAAAAACTTTATCATCCAAGCAACCACATGCGTACATTCCATGTATGTATGTAATAAAAATCATAAATGTAACAAATACATAGACATACATACATAATAAGTATATAAAACAAGTATGGTATTTGAGTTTAAGGAATTATTCCTAACTTATTCATAGCGGAATAGATTGCTGACAAAAAACGTTACATTCTTTTTTTAAAAGAGGATTATTAAAACTTATTTTTATTGTTACTAGAAGACGAGCTGTTTAATTGAATAAATGTGGCTGTTTATTTAGTTTGACAGGAATCAGCTGTTCAATCCGAACAATAAGAAAAGATACAGACATCCTTCGTTCCATTTATTTATTTCTTAATGCACGCTTCTAAAAGGGAGGAAGAGGATATTTATTCATTCAAAGTATTCATTTAAACTACTGTTGGAAGAGATTCAAAAGACCATTTTTGAAGAGAATTCCATCAAAATGTTTCTTCAAAGCCATTATTTTTTTTATATCCACGAAATAATCTGTACGAAATTAAATCAGAGCTATGAATTAACTAGATTTCAAGTTTCACTTCTTTCCAGCACTCGATTTCTTCTTCATTTTTGGAGTTTTAGTCGCCTTCAAACGTTGAGAATTCCCCTGGACTCTCTTCACTTTCAATGGACAATAAATCGTCTCATCCCTCTTAATTGCATCTTTACTCTTATGACTTTTCATCTCGTTTTCAAATCTCCCAGGATTTTTCTTCAACTTCTTCGGTTTTGGTTCATGAATATCAATGTATCTCTCCCTTTTGCTGATCTCCGCGGCTTTCTCGTTGAACTCTTCCATGTCTACATCGTCTCCCAGAGATATGAATTCGTCAGATACTTTTTCTGGATTCTTCGGAGGCTTTTGGGGCTCTGGGGGTACGAAAGCCCGTTCATTAACAGATTTTCTGTGCAGATAAACACTTGTGGACAATTTAAAAATCGCGGTCGGCTGATTTTTAGTCTCCAATGGAATTTTTTCTTCATCATCATCATCATCATCATCATCAAATAATTGCATTGGATTTTTGGTTTTCGGTAATTCCTCAGCCAAACTCGATATATTCGCGTGTAATTTATAAAAGTCTGAAGTTCTGTCTTCAATCCATGATTTCTGCAATTCAGAATGAAAATTAAACTGATAAAATTATGTGGACATGTGTGAACATGAGATGAGAAAAAGGTGTTAACTGAGAGGAAAAAACATTGAAAATGTGAAAGTTGTTTGAGTCAACAACGAGTCATTAACGATACAAAGTTTCACTCATATTTTGATCATTTTAGGAGGAGAAAATTTCTCATAAAGTCAAGCTAAATAAAAAAATATTTAAGTTGGCAACCCTCTAACTTCGAACAAAATGTTTTGTTAAATTTTTTTTTTTAATATTTAAAATGTTTGCAAAATAAAATATTTTTTTTAAATATTTAGTTTGAAGTTGGAGGGTTGCGACGACGTCGTTGTTAATCCCTTCTGCAATTCAATTCTTGTATTTCAGTATTGAATAATCAAAATGACAAACAAATAGAAATCGTATTGAAGCATTAATACAAACTTCAGTACTATTTAATTAAATTTAAGCGAAATTTTTCTTCTCTAGTCTTTCTTCAAGTGTTTCCCACAAAATGTTTGATACTTGGAAATCATCAACATGCTAATTTTCAATGAAATTAAGACTCGTTTGAGAACATTCTTTCATTTACCCTCAATCCTAGAGCTGCAGAAGCAAATCCAAGTCTCTGGGAAGTAGAACTCTTCAGGAATGGGACCAGAATCACTGGTAGATTTTTATTCTGACACATTGTGACCACGTGTTTGATCATGATCAGAGGCTCCACGTTGGAATCTACCAGGACAGAGGCCAGGGAGTCTCTCTCGAGTGCTCGAGTGACTGCATTAACCCCCAGGCACATCTTATTACTGGGGAAAAAAAGATGAATGAAGATGTCATGGAATATTTAAAAGAATAAAATGATTCAGGATATCCAAGTATCTTTTACAATTTGGTACAGGCCACACTATAGTTTCAACCATTTTCAATCACTAGAAAAGAAATGTGCGCTTCGCGCGCGCATACTTCAGCTAGTGGTTCATTGTATTTTTTATACTTTCATTTGTTTTTGAAAATAATAAAAGTAACAATAAACAATCAAAGGAACATATAATTTAATGTCACGTTTCTACCATGACTTTTTACAGCTAGAACTATATTATTTCACACTAAGTGATTGCTTCATGTCACAAGATAGCTAAATTGCTCGATAAAGTATCCAGAACACAATCTATTCATTAGTTAATCTTTAAAATCTACAAAAACGTCCTAGTGCCTCAATTTTCGACCGATTGAGCTGAAATTTGGGTTACATACAGTTGAAATATGCACAACACAAAATTGTAGACGGATTTTAAAAATATTGATTTTTTATGTATTTATATTTTTTTCTCCCCAGTGGTATGCCCTAATTTCGTATAATATGGACGAAATCCAAGTACACACTACCTTAATAAATTACTAATTTTTTCAGATTTTTATCGATAATTTTTTTGCATTTGTAAAAGTGATATTGATAAAATGTTGGGCTGCAATGTCAATTCGGTCATCAACATCAACACATTTTTAAAATAGAGAAGAAATATTTGGAAAAACCCGAAAAAATTTGTACTTCATTAAAATAGTATGGACTTGAACACATATTATAAACTTTTGCAATCGTCTCTATAATACCCAGAGACTTTGTCAATTAAAGCCCGAGTGGATTATCTTTCGAACGTTACCTCGATTTTTTCTTCCGAATGGAAGCTTTGTAATTGATAGAAAAGCATTTCACTGGAGAAAAAATAATCGAAGTACTTGGATATCCGTAAATGAAGGTTTTTACTTGATTTCATCCTCTTTATTTTCCATTTTCTTCGATTTCATCTCTTTCTTCAAGGCTGCACGTTCTTCCTTCGACATTTTTCTTAGTTGAGCCCAAGATATTTCTCGTGGATGACCGGTTCTATTCGGCAACGATCTGCAGGATTATTAATTGGTTTATTAGTTATTATTGATTTATTGTGTTAGTGAAGAAAGTCAAGGAACTTTTTGTACATTAGAGAATTAATTACTAAAATTAATTCACTATTTTTACTCTCAAGTCTGTCATTGAATAGATAATTATCAATTAACAATAGTTATTTTCGATCAGAAAAATGAGTCTTTAAAAAAGGTCCCTTGACATTTTGTTTTAGAATAACTTGTTCTCAAAATAATTGAAAAATTACTAAGTAATAAATTTATTAAAATTGAGTATAATTTTTTGTGTTAATTAGATGACTTGCTCTGTAGCAAATGACCCGAGAGAGCGATATCAAGATACCTTTTCTGCTGATTGGAAAATTCTCTAAAATAATCTATTTTTCTCTAAACAAAAAAAATAGGAATAGAAATAAATAAAAATTTATTCATCGTTATTTCGATTTCAATCATTAAACATTTTTTCGACGAAATGATTTATGAATCAGGGATGTTTAGGGTTTAGAAAATTCAGGAATAAGACTGATAACTCACTCGTTTAATATATTCTTCAAGTCCTCTCCTCTCTCGTCTCTCACAACAGGCCTGAAAATTACCATTGATTTCGTTCAATTGTTATTGTCAATCTAGCATTGATGAAATTAACTCTTGATAAAATAAAAACAATGGATAAATACCAGCAGAATTCGTGGGGATGAGCCAATATATTTCTCAATCCTTTCACTAGACCTTTTTTTATGGTGGAGAGCGGGGTTTTCAAGTTTTTAGCATTTTTCGGAGTCCCCATTCTTGTTTTGCCGATAATTGATGGAGTAATAATCACGAAAAATGCTAGATCTTGAGAATCTGGCGGAAAAACACTTTTGACATCACTTGGAGTAGATTGAGGTTATGGTCTGGGGCCCCACGTGGACATGCTTTTGCCGGAATTTATTGGGGCGGACCGTTGGGGGGTATTTTGAGTAGAGACGCAAATGCGTCACATGACCCGTCATATGACGGTCACATGACCGTCATATGACGGCTGTCACATTCCCCCTCCCCCTTCGTGACCGTCGCAACTTGTCAAGAAAAAATGACAGTCATTTTTCATCTATAGGGGCGGGTGGGGTAAAACGGACACTTGACTTTTTTTAAAATGTTAATAAGGGGTTGAAATGTTGATAAAATTCAATAATTTTTTTTTCAATACAAAGAACAACTCTTTCTCTTTGTGACGAGCCTAAACTGAGCTCAATTGATAAATTTGTTTCGGAATTATAAATAATTTTAAAAAAGTCTAGTGTCCATTTTACCCCATCCTCCCCTATAGATGAAACTTTATTTTTTTATCGGTCAATTTTCAGTTGAATTCCTTTTGTACGGGCCTAATCCGCATTTTGAAATGGAAATCACGTTTTTTTTCCATCCATATAGATGAAACTATTTTGTTTTATTCATGACCGTCACAAATTGGAAATTAGTTATGACCGTCATTATGCAACTATATAGATGGTTTGACAACAATTTGGTTACAAATGATTTGTGACAATCATTTGTAGTTGGAAAATTTGTGCGNACCCCATCCTCCCCTATAGATGAAACTTTATTTTTTTATCGGTCAATTTTCAGTTGAATTCCTTTTGTACGGGCCTAATCCGCATTTTGAAATGGAAATCACGTTTTTTTTCCATCCATATAGATGAAACTATTTTGTTTTATTCATGACCGTCACAAATTGGAAATTAGTTATGACCGTCATTATGCAACTATATAGATGGTTTGACAATAATTTTGTTACAAATGATTTGTGACAATCATTTGTAGTTGGAAAATTTGTGCGTCACATGACCGTCACAAGGCCGTCATTTTTTGGTCATATGACGCGATCTAAAAAATGACGGTCATTTTGCATCTCTAATTTTGAGTGGGCCGCCATTTTTTCAAGACTTGGGCGTCAGTTTCGAATTGGAAAGAAATGCAAAAGCCAGCAAATCGCTGATGATCATCAATGATGAGAACTCACATCCCGAATTAGTTTGATAACATGGAAATGAATAACAACATAAATATATATATATATATATATATATAAGGTAAAATACCTTAGGGTTTATTTGCTTAAACAAAAACAATTATGAGCAATTGTCAATTTTTCAATGATGATAATTAAAATTTACATGAAGGTCAACGTAATTCTACGTTTATTGTCTCAAACTTATTTCTTCGTATGATAATTAAAGAAAGTTAATTCCAATGTTATTCTTTCAACATACATGTAATAATTGTACATGATGAATGGTCATTGCAATAGAAAAAATAGTCGATCATTCGCACCGATCCTTGGAAAATATAATCTCTCAATTTCATCATTATGAATAATAAAATATGTCGATAGCATAATTCTTAAAATTCCAAATACTAAACGATAAAAAATCATCCTTATAATCGGCGCTTTCTTCTTTTAGTCGGCTGTGAGCGCTCACTCTCAGGCTTTGATGATTCTGCCTCCGACGATGTGGAGGCACCTCGACGTCGTAATGATTGTCTCGATGCGGGTCGAGATGGGGATGGTAATGATACATCTCTGAAGCTGAAATTTGAGGACAAAAATTTAAGTTCGAATAATTTTTTTTTAAATAACAAAGCTGATTCAAAAAGTTCCAGAAGACTTTGAATTATGTCAAAACTCTGGTCTGTCAACACCATCTCTCGTTTTTTGATGATTTTTATAGAATAATCAAAATGATAAAATAGGGGTATTGCGTAATTTTTTATTTATTTTAGTATTCGCTATTTCCAAATACGTCTAAATTTCCTGATGTCAAATCATATCTAAATTTCAAGTTAAATCTTCCAAATAGTTATTTCTCATCCGTTCCGTTTTTTTTTCTAAAAAAAAAAAACATGGGCAATTCGCGATCGCAACGTAGATGTGGAAGCCACCAAGTGGTCTCCAAACTAACTACTCTGGGGGGGCAACCAATGAGATCCCTAGGAGGAAACCAATGATGGAGCTCAACCAATGAGATCACGGAGAGCCCAGTGATCTCATTCGTTGCCCGCCAAGAGTAGTTAGTGTAGAGACCACTTGATGGCTCCCACATCTACGTTGCGGTGGCGAATATCTCGAATCGAAAATGAGAACTCGAACATGGCGGAAATCTCGAATAATTCTACTTTCTTAATATTGCGTTTACTAAGGTTTTCATCGAACAAAGTTAATTAGAATTAATAGCTAGAATTATGAGATTATCTCACATTTTTAACGTTAAGGATAGGAGAATGTGAATACAATGTAGTGAAAATGATGATCGATTATTTCACTTTGAACAATAATATTAATATCCAAATACAAAATTTTTGATACGAATAAAAAGAAACTGTGACTCCATATTCCAAATTAAATTTTAATTTTCAATTTGGTGCTGAAAGCACGAGATGACAATATTCTAAGCACGGAATTATATTGATGAGATGAACAACAAAGTAACTGGATTACCATGGGAACTACTTAAAAATTTATAACACTTTTTTATTCTGAAAATCTAGGGGAAACATTTATCCCGTTAATCGAAGCGAACAATTTCCAGAAAATTCTGCAAAAGTGTCCGAAACTCCTATAGGAATTAACATGTGAAAAGTATCTGACTCCTTCAGAAAAAAAAAATGTAAAAAATATCCCTCCCATCCTCACCTCGTATCAACCTCCCCTCCAACCCTGGAAGGACAGCTCGCCGGAAAGACCTGAGAAAGCCCGGCAGTCCTATTGGCAAGCTGCGTGTACGCCCTCCTGCTCTGCGATATCTCATTCAGCCTCTCCTGAATGATCCCCGGATGATTGACCGAAAGCGCCCGAATATTAACCGCCACGCACTTGGTGGAATTGAATGTCTTATAAATCCCCACAAGACTATCCGAAAGCTCGAACATCTCCGATCTTAAGCTGATCACAATAAACTGTGCATTCTTGGTCCTCTCCTTGATATAAGTCCCTACGATGGAGACATTCTTGAAGTCGAGAGCAGCATCGATTTCATCCATGAAGTACAACGGCGTCGGTTTGTAATGATGCAGAGCGAAAACAAGCGCCAAAGAGCTCAGGGTCTTCTCCCCTCCACTCAAATTACTGATATTCTTCCACGACTTCTTCGGCGGTCGCACACTGAAGACAATGCCTTCACTGAAAGGATCCAGAGAGTCCACCAGCTCGAGCTCCGCAGCGCCACCAAGCGTAATCATCTGATACATTTCCTTCAATTTATTCGTGATTACGATGAATCCGGCGAAGAACTCTTCAGTCCTCCTCTTCTTGCCGAGATCGTACCCAGCCCTCATCGTATTCCGCATTTTCGTCACTTCCTCGACGTCTTTCGATCTCTGAATGAAGATGGCATCCTTCTCCAGGAAGTCCTGGATAATCTGCATGTTGGGGATGGAGTCGGGAAGCCTTTCTTTCGCGGCTGCGAGGTTCGTAGCTACTGTCCTAGTGTCCAGACGAGACAGCTCTTCGTCCGTCGGATCCGTCAGTTGTTCTTGCTCCTGTGTCGGTAGTTTATTCAACTTCAAGGACTTGATCCTTCGGCGGTAGTCGTTTAGTTTATGAGAAAGGTCAGCTATGGTTTTCGTGAGGTCTGAGAGCTTCTGCTCAAGGTCTATCCTCAAAGACTTGAGTTTGGTCTCCTTCTTTTGAAGGTTATCCAGGTCCTCTTTAAGTCCACTTGAAGCCTCGTCACCTTCTTTCAAAGCCTCCCTGTACTTCTCGATCTTCTCGAGAAGGACTTTAGCGTCAGCCTCAAACTGTTGCTTCTCCGTTTGAATGTCTTTGATTCGTTGCTCACAGGACTTGACATCGTTCTCCAATGTCTCGATCCTTTGTTCACATTTCTTTGTGTTCCTTTCGGAGGTTTTTATGGAGACCTGAAGCCTACAGACTTCTGACTTTGCCTTGTCAATGGACTTCGAAGCCACTTGAATCTTCTTCTGTTGCTCCTTGATTTGTCCACCTGACAAGTCTTCTATGACTTGATTAATTCGAGTCACTTCATCCTCTGTGGATTGTGACATCTCCTGGACGGTCTTCAAATCTTCTTTCATGGAATTCAGAGTTTTGGTCAAGGCCTTGACCTTCGCAGGATCGGAAACCGCATCCTTAGCTTTCTTCTCCTGAGACTTTAGTTGGATTTTCAACAAGGGCGCTTGCTCCTTCAGAGTCTTGAAGTCAATCTCGTATTTATCCTTGTTGAAGGTCATCTCCTGTAGTTCTGTCGTCAGTTTGTAGATCAGTTCTTCTAGATTTGGGATGCTCAGCCGGAGGTGAGCGCTCTCTTCTGTCAGATGATTCAACTCCTCTTGGAATTTTTGAATTTCCCCGGATGAGGGCTCAGCCCTCACCACACTCTGTCCCATCCTCCCCCTGGAGACCGTTTTCCCTCCTCCACTCATCGTCCCAGAGGTCTCGATCAACTCCCCTTTGAGCGTGACAACTCTGAATCTTTTCGCTCCGTAAGCGATCCTCGAGGCTTGATTCAGATCATCAGCGACTAGAGTATCTCGGATTGCGTAGTAAAACGCGGGGAGAACTCTCCTGTCCTCCACCTGAATTAAGTCGAATAATCTCAGAACATTCTCAGGGGTTCTGATCTTCTGGTTACAGTCATCGGCGAACTTCTGTTGCTTCTCAAGGGGAATGAACGTCATTCGACCGATGTCATTGTCCTTCAGGAACTTGATGCAGGCCTGAGCTGTGTCCACTGTGTCCACCACTACGTTGTCAAGGGGTCCGCAAGCCGTGGACATCGCCACGTCGAATTTCGCGTCAATCGCTCCCAGATCGCCAAGTCTTCCCAAGATTCCTGGGATCTTCCCCTCTCGTTTTTGCCGCATCAGGGCGTCGATCACTCGATTCCGAGATCTGCTGGCGTTCATGGCTGATCTCTTCTCCTCTAGCTGGAGTCTCAGGGTGCGCATACGTCGGTTTATTTGGTCTTCCTGGACTCGGACTTGTTCCAATTCTTGTTTAGTTTTCTCAAGGTTCTTCTGAGTCGAAGGAATTTTCGTTTCGAAGATCGATAGCTTCTCTTTTCTGTCCTTCAGGGTCTCCGCAGTAGTTTGCAGGGTCTCCTGGAGTTTCTGAAGCTTCTCCTTCTCGGTCTGCTCGACAGACGTATAGATCTGGAGCTCTGACTCAGCCAGATTGACTTTAGCTTTCGCTTCGTTCACTTTTTTTCTGTGGGAGATCAACTTCGTTTCGAGAATTGAGCGCTGGTTCAAGAGCGGTTCTGTCTTCTCTTTGAGCGAAGCCATGATTTTCTTGAGGGTGGCTTCTTCTTTCTCTAAGGTGGACATGTGACGCTGGATCAGACGCTCGCATTCCTCGATGTCTTTCGCGCTCTTCTCGGGGACTTTCTTCAGAGCTTCCAGTTTTTCTCTCTCGGTTTTTAGTAACGCCATGTTTGTCTTGCGTCGCTTATTGGTTTCGACTAGCTCCGCGTGAAGAGCTTCGTCTCTTTTTCGAATTTCGTCGAAAGCTGCTGTCGCCAATGTTTTCTTCGACTCTATGGCGTCCCATTTCTTGTTCTTCTCCCTGATTTCCTGGGTTTTCAGGTCTTTCTCTTTGTGGATCGATTGCAATTTCTGTTTCAGGTTCTTCAGGTCCTCTTGGAGTTCGGTTTGGGTTTCAGATTTCTGATTGATGTCGTTTGTTAGCTCTGATTTCCTGCAGTGGTAGAACTTGTGCTGCAACTTGGTGATAGTGTTTTCGATTTTCAGGAAGTCTACAGCCTCCTCCATAGGTTCCTTCATCTCATCTCGCTCTCTCTCCACTAGCTTCAGTCGATTTGTCTTCTCAGCAACGCGTTCCGACAACATCTCAAGTTTATCAACCAGTTTCTCCAGGGGAACTTTGTACCGAGACGTGCCGATAATGTCCTCCAGGAACTCCAGCATTCCGCAATCGTGCTCGTTCTGGGCTTTCGGTTTCATCAGAGAAATTTGCTCGACCTCTCCTTGGAGGATCAGGAAACGATTGTGGTCCAGGTCAACTCCTTCACTTCTCAAGAGCTTAGCTATTTCTTTGAACTGAACCTTTCGTCCAGACAGTTCATATAACGAGGAACTATCCTTGAAGGCAATTCTCGAGATGACGAATTCCGATTTGGGAACGACTTCGAAGCCATTTTCTTTGTCGATTATCTTTTGAAAGTGAACGGCAACTGTGCAACTACTAATATGAGGATGTTCGTTGGAATTGTGAATCAAGACAGAGATTTTTTTCGATCGGATTTTACTGGCCCGGTAACCGAAAACGAAGAGCATGGAGTCGATGACATTGCTTTTACCACTACCGTTGGGACCTACTATCGCGGAGAAACACTCGTGGAAGGGACCTATCACGGTTTCACCGGCGTAACTCTTGAAGTTTATGTTGACGATTTTTGTGATCACAAGACGACCACCATTGGAGTTTACCTCGTGCAGTTGTTTTGGGGGCGGGGGAATGTAGATGTCCTCGTCGAGACGCAGACCACCCTCTTCGTCTGAGTCGCAGTCCAGGCGCTCAGCGGGGTCTACGTCATCGTCGGAGATGTCTTCGTTTCGCTGGTTCCTACCTGACATGGTTTCTGGAGAAGACAATGATTTTGGGGATTCTTGTTTTTTTTTTGCTTCAGTAGGGTATCGGGGGCGTTCCGTGTCTCACGCACGGCGACGCTTTTACGTGGAAAGTTGGGACGGTAATATTTTTCCCTGGGGACCGCACTGCAACCCCAGTGATTTTACGGTTTTTTAATGGAGGATTTGATGTTCAGTAGCCTAATTGTTCAAAGGAATTCTCGCACCTCTCTATATTATGAAAATCCAAATCGACTTCTGACGACGGGAAATTGAAATGAGGAATCAAGTTTCGGAAATGGCTTTTTTACTTTCGAATGGAAGCTTTGTACACTGAGAGAAAAAACTACTTTTGACAAAGAAGGCTTATTAATACAAGAAAATATTCTCTTGTCAATTTTGAAAATCGTGAAATCTCCTGATAAGTAATTTCGTTTTGAGACTGAGAGAAAAAAGTTTTTCAACAGTATGAGATTCCCTCAGAAGCACTCTTGTTTCTTGATTTTTTTATTGTGTTAAATAGGTTCTATTTTAATTTATTTTTAATAACAAAATTTTTTTTTACGTGGATACGTCTATGGTTTCAATATGGCGGGTCATTTTGGGAAACGGTCCTTATGTGCAGCGCCATCTGTCGGAATTCTAGAAAATTCTACACATTTCGTGGTAATTCGAGAAGTTTCTTGAAATTTCGAAGAAAAATTCAAGGAGTTTCTAGAAATTTCGAGGAAATTCAGGGAGTTTCTAGAAAATTCGAGAGAATTCAAGGACTTTCCAGAAAATTGGAGGAAATTCAAGGAATTTCTAGAAATTTCGAGGAAATTCAGGGAGTTTCTAGGAAATTTGAGAAAGAAGGAATGACCATGGACGTATCCACGTACATTACTACTGCATCGAAGATACAGCCGCCGGCAATTTTTACAATTTTCCTTTTACCATTCTTGATTATTGTATGACACATTAAGTTCGATAGCACATTGGCGTCTTGTGGCGAAAATTACTGAGGAGACCCCTTAATCTGGTGTCCAGATTGCCCCGCCCGCCCCTATGTGTACTTCAATCAGACATGTATGTACTTCAATCAAACATGAATGTACTTCAATCAAACACGTGACAATTTTTTATTTTCAAATGAAATAATAATTCGAGTAGTAAACAATCGACGAGAGAAATAAAAATACAGAAAACGAACACTTGGGGAAAAAAATCATTGCTCCTTTGGAGACAACAGTAAAGGCGCCAAAACGGAGTAAAGTGAGGTTAGAATGCAATTTCCAGCGAATTTAAAAATTCCCGGAGTTAATAAATCAACATTAATGATTGAAAGATGAAAGGAAATTCGGAAGAACTCATTAATTCACTTCATTCAATGTTCACTAGAATTTTTGCCATATTTGTTAGTCTAGTTAAAGGTGTTGTTGTTAGAACTGTTTTTCGAATTAATTTTTCACCAGAAAATCGTGGATTTGAAATGGAAATTTATGATTTTTAAATACCTGCTGCCGAAGATCTTGTTTATTTCTTTGTTACATTGAATTCAATGTATTTGTTAATTCAACATCATGATTGATGTTTGTTGTTTATCTGGAGCAGACGCTCGTGTTGTTGAACGTTGAATTTGAAATCTCGGATTGCCAGGTGCTGCCGCAAGAGCGCTTGACTTGCAGCACTTGCAGCGCTCGAACTATCGGAGGTTAGAATAGTGAAATATTTCATTGAGAAAAACGTTTTAAAAAATTGTTAAAAGTGATAAAAAATTGGATTGATTGAGTGAACAGCAATAGGTGAGTTCCCAGGATTTATTAGAATTTTTTCAAGTATTTATTGTAAATGTTTCAAGATGAAGTTTGATTTTGTGGAGTGAAAGGTCGATTCTGAGCGTTCTAGAGGTTTTTGAGACGAAAATAATGAATTCAGAGGATTCTTAGAGGTTCAATTATTGAAATAATCCTCGAATGACTCTTGTGATGACTGATCATTTTACGGGAAGAGATTCAAATGTCTTCCTTTATTCTGTACAGGCTAATAGAAAAAATTATTTTTATTGAGATGATTCTTTCTTGGAACAAGTATTATATACTTGAACCAATTTCAAATAAATAAGATCTTACGGTGAATATCAATTATTTCTTCTTGAGTTACATTTACTTGAATCAAATAAAACAGTCCTTGGCGTCAAGTCACATGTATTAACCACAAAAATGGACAAGTTCTATTTTTTTTAACCTAATATAATCTCCAGTCGAGAAATTTTCTACTTTCATGAATTGATGAAAATTCGTATCTAGGAAATGATTAAATTGAGGAATGAATTGAATGTTGTTTTCTCGAATGAAGCCGATGTTTAAATTGAGCTTTCCGTACATCACATTGAACAAAATTTGTGATATCCAAGTTTGTGTAGAATTGCCGTAATCTGTGATTCTGTTATTGTAAACTAATGCGATTTTTTTTAGTCAGGAAATATAAACTTCTTTCAACTCAATGGCATCTTACTACAATCTCAAAGCTTTTTCCGCGTAACAATATTCATCCTGATTCGACATACGAAATGCTCACTTCAATTATAATTTACTTGGAACAACGTATGATCTTGTTGATTGAGATAACAACGTATTTAGTCATGAGAATAATTTTTATTTTTGAGTAAACCAACGAATTTCTGGAGTTGGCAAACTTTTGGCTAGAAAGAAATCAAATACTCTCATTATTGCGACAAATAAAAGCAACTTCAATTCTAGAGAAGTTCGATTTCTCCCAATCAAATGTATCTCAAGAAGAGATAACTAGTATTCACTATAAAATCATGTTTATTTGAAGATTAACAACCAAATGATAGTAGGTTCAAATAAAATTCTCCTGACAAAACTATTTTTTTCTGTCAGTACAGGAATCGTAGCTGAGAGTTTGACAAACAAATTGAAAATTCATATTTTTTAACGTTTCACTTGCACTTTTTGCAGGTGGGTACGAGGACCCAGAGGCTGGACGTGGGGAATCAGTCGAAGTCTTCGCAAATCGGTTGACTTTACAATAAAGAATTCATTACAGAATATAAAACACTTCAGAATGGCTGAAGAGATGACTGAAGACTCGCTGTCACTGCAGCATAAGAAGGAACGTAAGGAATTGCAAGGTAAATTGAGTCTCCATACTCAACTTTATATGAATTTTCCGATTTCATTCAATTATAAACTTTTTTTTCGTTTACTTACAGCAATTACAAAATAATTTCGAGACAAATGTCATGATCTTTTTTGTTGACAATTTTCGTTCTCTAACGTCTTTTAATTTAAGGCCCGGGTGTACAATCTTTCGAACGTTATCTGGATGTTTTTTTCATCTTTCGTTATCTGAAATTGTCCATTGAGTCCTGCAGCATGCAGAAGTTTTGAAAAATTATGAATGAATAATCAAAAAAAAGTAGAAGAAATTCTTAATTTTTTCAAAGAGCATTTTTTATTTATATTCAGAATAAGTTGAATAACAAGAAATTAAAAAATGTATATGATTTACGGTGACAAATGGCGGTGTATCACCCAATATCATGTAGGGGGAAGACTGATTTCGTATATCTTTTCCCACACTGCACAGAGACATTTATTACGGAAAAGGCTCTTTGAAAAAAGTTGTAATATTTTGGAGAATTTTTTAATCACACTTTTATCACGTAAAAATGGCAGATGACTTCATACCACTGTTTTGAAAATTGAGATACCTAGCTGTCACTTCCCATGAGGCGTTGGTGTTTTGTTATCCACCATGGAAAATGACAGCTAATAGATAATTTGCCACAGCGAATCAGATATTTGTAATTTCCACTTTTTTCAACTCATTCTGAATCTCAATTAAAAACGCTCTTTGAAAACGTTCAGAATTTTTTCAATTTTTTTTTATCATTCTATCATAATTTTTGGGAATTTCTACATGATGTACCATTTAAATGACAATTTTGGATCACCAAAGATGAAAAAAATCCAGATAACATTCGAAAGATAGTACACGCGGGCCTTAATTTAATTTCATTTCATTCCATTTCATTTGACGATAAAAAATGTTCTTCATTATGTCCACAGCACAAATTCAAACCCTCAAAAAGTCAATTTCCAAAGGAGACAAGAAGAAGAAACGAGAAGTAACTGAGGAGATAATGAGGATGGAGTCAGATCTGGACAGACGTCAGGAAGAGGAGATGATGAATTTTAGGTTGTCGCAGGTGACAGTGACAGGATTGCCAAGTGAGACTGTGATTCTCCCTGAGGAAGACGACAATGAGGAGAAGGGTGAGGACGTGGAGCCTGTGCAGAGGATCTCCAAGGCCCAGAAGAGGCGGGAGAAGAAGGCGCAGGCGGAGAGGGAGAGGAACGAGAGGATTATCGAGCAGGAGGCGTTGAACGTCTTCGGGAAGAGGAACATAGAGACCCAGGCGATCAAGAAGATGCTGGGGGAACGGAATCTTACGCTGTATGAGATCCCCAGTGATGGCCATTGGTGAGAAATTATGAATTACCAGTTGATTTATTTTCTCAATTAATTGTTTATAGTCATTCTCATTCCAAAAAGCAATACGAACTATGAGAATTATATGTACCAATTTATCAGCTGTTAAATTTTCATATCACAATAAATGATTTGCTCATGTTCTTATTTCTATGCTCACTGAATAAGATTTTAATCCTAATTACAATTCAATTCCTTCTAGAACACACTTTGGAGTGTGAATTTCTGGAATTCAATATTTGTTGACACTCTGGTAAAAGTGCGTGGCCACACTGTTATCAATTTTTAGTTAGTTCACACGGTAATTCAATTAATCTGTTGTTCATCTCATCAATATAATTGCGTGCTTAGAATATTGTCATCTCGTGTTTTCAGTACCAAATTAAAAATTAAAACTTCATTTGGAATATTGAGTCACAGCTTCTTTTTATTCATATCAGAAATTTTGTATTTGGATATTAATATTATTTGTTCAAAGTTGAAAAATCGATCATCACTTTCACTATATTGCATTTAGATTCTCCTATCCTCAACGTCAAAAATGTGAGATAATCTCATAATTCTAGCTATTAATTCTAATCAACTTTGTTCGAAGAAAACCTTAGTAAACGCAATATTAAGAAAGTAGAATTATTCTATTTTCCTCTGGCCTAAATGATTTGGGCAATTATGATTCGTTTATTCATGTTTCATAGAATGGTATTCACTTCTCTTTTGTTTGTTTATGTACTCATAAAAAACCCGTGACTTTGCACTCTCGTTGTTCTGATTTTTATGACAATTTTTGCGAATTTCGAATTTTTGTAACATTTCACTGAAAGTCAATTTTCCGACAGTTTCGTCAAATATAATTCATTATCTATAAAAAAACATGGAGACAATCTTAAGAAAAACGTCTTTTCTCAATGATTCTATCGCTTTGCTACTGAATTCAATTGACCAAAATAATATAAAACGATAAATGATGTATGATAGAAGAAAATTACGTGAAAGCCAAATTATGTGAAGACAAAAGCAATTTCTCAATTATCATGATTTTATGATTCTTAATAAAATCAAATTTATTCTTTGTTTTCAGTTTATATAATGCAGTTGCCCATCAATTAAAACTTATCGATGACATACCACTCGGTCTACAAGATTTACGAACGAAAACAGCTGTTCATCTTCGTGAAAATATGAATGATTTCCTTCCATTTTTGTCGAATCCAGACTCTGAGGAATTGTTCTCACCTGAACAATACGAAAAATACTGTGATAATGTGGCTACTACGAGTGCATGGGGTGGAGCAATAGAAGTGAGTAATGATAATCAATAATTGTGTGAATTGTGTAAATTTTTTTGAGCATCAGATTATTATCTAGAGATAGATTTTGGAAGGAAAGTACAGCCAATGACACAAATGATTACTTTTTTCAGCTTCAGGTACTCTCAAAAGTTCTCAAATGTCCAATCGAAGTGATTCAGGCAACGGGAGTGCCCTACATTGTTGGATCCGAGTTCGAGACCAGTCGAAAAGTCACAGTGACGTATCACCGCCACATGTATGAACTAGGAGCTCACTACAACTCTGTAACTAAATTTGTCAAGGATGAAGAAAGCTGATGAGCCGACACGTGAATTCATCAGTGAACTAATGAAGCTGGATGAGTCCCGAGAGAAAAAATAATTAGTAGATAAAATTTCAAGTTTATTCGCGATCTCATTGTCAGGATTGGAGGTGTCAAGAGACCTTTTGAGCCAAAAATAAAGCAATTGGACTCATCTACCTTCTCGACTCCTGCGAATAATCTTTTGCAATTATGAATAACTATAAACTGCTCTCGTACATCACTACTGCCACTCAAAACTCACATGCAAGGTGCATTCTAAGTCAACGATCATGCAGGGCGTTCCATAGAATATGACCAAATTAGATTAAAAAATGGAATAGGACTTTTTGACGCTGATTTTTTTGCCCCAATATTAAAAAAAATGCGATTACATTTCGATATAAATACAACTAATGCGAGACCTGAAATCCATTTGATAATTAAATTCCATTACATGTTGAGTTTATTCTGGGAAGTCATTGGAAGCAAATTGGAGGAGAATTAAGGAAATAATCAGACGAAAATCCCCACCATCGACTTTTTTTTCCTGCTGATTTGGCGTGGATCTGCTCATATAGACAGCATCCTTCTTTCGGTTGATTTATACAAAAAAATTCACGAGAAATCTAACACAATTGATTAGAGAAGAAATATAATTCAACACAGAACAGAAAATACCCGGAATCGGGTATATAATATTCCGGAATCCGGGATATTTTATTCTCAATTGCGGAATAATGTTCCGGAATATAATTATATATAATTGTCAAATGGATTCTCAGTCGATAGTAGGATAAATTCATTCTCTGGATGATTGTGTACGTCAAATTAGTGACTCGAGGAGAAGAGGAAAAAGGAAAGGAAAGGAAAAGAAAAAAGTGACACAATTATACTGTTACGAAGTGCAAGTTTGGGGTCTTCCAAACCTCCACCTCGTGTAGTGACTCGGAGCAGTCCTCAGAGTGAGGAGGTCAATGGCCTCCCAGCAACTTCAAACTGTTCAGGAGGTTGCTGGTGGCAATAATAATTCAAAAATCCCGAAAGAATGTCCCAAAATACGACCAATCGCCCCTTGAAACCCACTAATAATTCGCAAAACCCCCAATTGCCACCCGAAAGGGCGGATCCGCGGAGAAAGAACGTATGAAAATACTTCCCTGAGTGCTCCTCGTGATTATTGACCGATCTCACTTAAATTCAGACGGCGCGTCGTCAGTATATGCCATCTCTTACAGACGCAACGTACAATATTTCAATGCGAGGAAGTCCCCGGAATATTATTCCGGAATTGAGGATAAAATATTCCGCATTCCGGAATATTATCCTGGAATCGAGAATTCAATGTGTCGAATTCCGGAATATCATTCCGGAAATGAGGATGAAGTATCCCGGATTACGGAATATTATTCCGGAATCCAGAATATAATTTATTCAGGATATTATGTACAACATTCGAGGATATTCTTTTCCGTGTCTATTTCAGTAGTTGGATTTTTCATTTCAACATGATACGTGAAACATAGTACGTCATTTAGTCTAGTCACATTTCATGGGGCACCCTGTGATCTTTCAATGAGAATTGGCCTAGTTTTCTCAACCAAAAAATCGACTTCAGTTACCGAAATTTCTAATCGATAAACCAATTACCATTAAGAGTTGGCTGAATTAGTTCATTCATATATTTTTTTAAAGAGATGGATGAAGCTCAAGTCAGTTCAATTAAGAAATTTAGAGCAATTATCGGTGGTAATTATCGAATTGTAGTAGATGGAACTATAATAATTTGAGAAATCAATGTTTTTGCGAAATATGCCACTATTTCGAATGAATTATTCTAAGGATAAATGTCACGAGACTTTTATTGTAGCTTACAATATTTACAACGAAAAAAGTTCTCGTATTTTCCTGAAATTTTCCACGTTCGAAGGATTTCAATAAAAAAACAGCGCGTTTGTGAGAAATTTCTGTATTTTTTTAATTTCCACATTTTTCAAAATCGAAATGTTTGATAGAAAAAACTGAATAAAAAAGGAAAAAAATTGAATTCATTCTATTGCAATAATTTCTTCAGGCAAATTCTAGCAAATTCTAGAAATTCTAGCAAAAAACTTTGAAAAAATTGAGTTGAGAAATTTCGGTATAAAATCATTTAACGCCGTGAAATGCGTAGAAGAATAAAAATCTATTGATTTTTTTTCTACAAAATATTTTCCATAGAAAATTTTTGAATTCTGTCGAATTTTCCCTGGGAATTGGCATAAAACAAATTGAATCCTTCATTACCTTTTTTCGTTCGTGTTACGTCGACAATTCTTTAATTAACTAGTGAAAATTCATCAATTGACAGTAGATAATTCTAAAGAAAGTTAATGGAAATGCTGCCACTACGTAAATGAATAGTAAAAAAAAATAGTAAATTACACTGTCATCGATTTTAAGACTCATATTAAAAGGAGAAAAAAATAAAAACCCAAAAAAACTGAAAATGAGTTTTGAACAGATTTGGCATTAAAGCATTTTTCAATGCGAATAACCAAAATTGAGGTCAATAACTGCCAGAAAAATGCAATAAGCTACTGATGTACAGATATTGGCTCAAGGTAAATCTGGGATAACATCGAAAACATCAAGAGCAATTGAAGATGAAAATATTGAACCAAATAATACATCATTTTTACTGTATACTATAATAAGTGTGTAGGATTGAAGCAATAAATCAACTAGTATGAACGTCCTGACCAATTGATTTGATGTAAAAACTCGTTTTTTAATTTATAATTGACATTCTCAGCAGGATAAAAATTATTACTCCCTCTCGTTGCTTTTGTAGAAGTCTGAACTCGCCTAAATTTTTAAAAACTAGTGCCAGCGGCCGGGGTATTGATGCCTTTTTTCCTGCAGATTCGATATTCCTTTTTTCAATTAATTGATTGTTTATCATCATTCTCATTGTAAAAAGCAATACGACCGAGGAGAATCATATGCCCCCATTTATCAGCTGTTAAATTTTCATACTACAATAAATGATTTGCTCATGTTTTAAGGATAATCAGGCGAGCTGGGAGGGTTGAAAAAAAAGCAGCCATTTTTTTCTTTTTTTTTACGCATTCTTTAAATGATGGAAAAGGCGTGTGCAAAGTTTCAGACTGCTGGGGAGCATGTTTAATTTATTATGAATTTTTGAAAAAGTGGTCATTTAACCCGTGATCTTATGGAAATCACCAAAAAAACTGCAAAACCCGAGGAAAAAATGCAGTCAGAGTCATGAAACTTTAGACACATTTAGAACATGTGATCAATGATTTTTTGAGTGAAAAAGATTGTCGCCTAGGAGCATTGTTTATTAATAATAGCAAAAAAAGTACTGAAAAATGAAATTTCTGCGCACGCAGCCCAAACGAGCAGCAACGTCCCGAGTACCGATGGGGTGGGGGTATCGCGGTCAATTTAAACGTCTCTTGAGAGAGAGAGCGATGAAGCGTTGTGATTGGAGCTCCCTCGAGCCAGTGGTACCAGCTCCTGGTGAAAAAAAAACTACCGACGATGTTGCCACTTTTTCGCATGGATTAATATTTTTTCATTTATTAAAAAAAACAATCTGAAAACCATTCAATGCGTGGAACCGATACAAATAAATTTGATTAGCTCCAAAAATAATTTTTATGCCACTCATGCCTGAAACCGGCTGGATTACACACTCGACGCTTCGCGTCTCGTGTCTAATTCAGCCGGTTTCAGGCTTCGTGACATAAAATTTTGTTCAGTACTTGTTGGGAAATTTCGTCCTTAACGTGTGTGGTTACATCACTCGCCTTCGGCTCATGCTGTAAACCCCACACACGTTAAAGACGAAATTGCCCCACACGTGCTGAAATATACTATTATACTATACGTGCGTGCAATCCGGCCGGTTTCAGTTGAGTGTCGACGCACAGAAAGTGCCGGGTTTCACACACTGTAGTGTGGAACCCTACACATCTGTGTAATCATGTGGGCGTAACCCATGGGCATGCGCAAATGCACGCGCCGATGCGCAGATCGATGCGCAAATGGTCGTTGCAATATCATCGTTGGATTCCACACATCCATTGCGCATCGACTCATAACATCGCCCACTGCCTCACTTGTTGGTATCCACATAACCCTCTCAATATTCTGTCGTTAAATTTATTCATTTATTCANGTTAAATTTATTCGGTAAAAAAAATAAAAGCAGTGAAATTAAATGGACAACCACATCGTACCCGACAGTGACGAGGAGATTGATCTCTCGGGAGATTTATTTAATGGAGATTCGACATTCCTCACCGAAGCAACCGTCGGTTCTCCGCCAAATAAAAAGCTGTGTCTGGATGATGAAAATGATGAAAATAACAACTGGAATGCTGAAAATCTTCCACCAGAAATTTCGAAATCAGGATAAGAAGTGAGGAATAATTTGATTCCCGAAAAATCGGTTGATAAATACAAGACTGTCTATCAAATTTCACCCAATTAAATTGAGAAATTTGATTTTAAACAATTTCCAAGTCTGAACTTTTTTTTTATCTTTGATGTTGATTTTAATTTTTTTTTCTCAGTTTTTTTCTTAACCCCTCCCCCCCCCCC